TTTTTGCCTTGTGGTTCTTACAAAAAAAAAAGGTCTCACTGTCTTCCTCTGCGGAGTGGCTTGCTTGCTGCCTGCCAGAATTGTTGCAGAAAGCACAAACTCCACAGCTCCAATGACACTCTCAAAGGATGTCTAAAAATTATGCCAGTGAACACATGACTTTCAGGACACAAGGCAAATGGCTCAACCACATTTTGTCATTCTTGTTATAAATAATACACACAAAATGTGCATGAGAAAGCCAAAAACAAATATGAAAGCCAGAAACATATAACACCCATTAAACATAAGACGAAAGCTAAAAAGCCAGAAGCACATAAGGTAGCCATGCAGAAATAAGGTTAGAAACATAATAAGAAAGCCAGAATAATGTAAGGAAGCCAGACAGAAACATAATAAGAAAGCCAAAAGTGCGCAAGCTAGCCAGGCAGAAATAAAGCCAGAAGCACATTGTTTGTTTTGTTTTAGTATCCAGAAGCCATGAGTTGTTAACCCTCAGGCTCGGTATTATGGATATCGCAACCTTTCGGCCTTGATTCCATTGTAAATACCGTAAATCTGGGAGAAAATGTGGCTTTCCTGCCTTACCCCCAGGACTGAACCCGGACCACAAGGAGTTTGTCACCCGGTCTCCGCGCAATCCGGTTTAGCCAACTACGCTAGAGAGCCGGGCACCAGAAGCACATAAAGTAGCCAGGCAGAAAAAAAGCCAGAAACACAAGGTGGGCAAGCAGAAAAAAAGCCAGAAACATAATAAAGCCAGGCAGAAATAAAGCCAGAAGCACATAAGGTAGGTAGGCAGGCAGAAATACAAGACAGCCAGAACAAAATTAAGAAAGTAAGTTTTAGAACATATATATTTTATTCAATAATAAATAACGTTATTTACATAAATTTATATATACACATGTGTACAGCAGAGCATGAATATTTACAAGATATGGAACAGTCGTAACACCATTTACAACAATCAGATTGAGTTTCTACAGTCGTGATATTTTGCTGAAAAAAAGTTACATTTTTATCAGCCATATTCTGGATCTGGATTCAGGTCGGGACAGAGCCAAGATTTTTGTTTCTAAAATGACCTTGGCTCCCGGGTCGACTCAGCCTTAAATGGGTAGCAGGTAAAGTCCTGGGAAGCAAAGATGACTGGAGTGATGCTGGCCACATCATCCACCTAGTGCCGTTTGATCTATAAAATATAGGTCTAGCCCTATATACCCAATAGGCTGGAGATGTGGAAAAGGGTTCTTTAGTTACCTTGACTTACATTCTGTTTCTATAGTCATGCTGGAACATGATTTTGTAAGCTGCATTATACTTTTTTTTAATAGTCAAGTTCTAAGGAACATTGTGATTCTAAGAGCCACATTATGTTTCTGTAATCATTCTATTCTGTCGAATTCTATGAGCTGCATGACATTTCTATAGTTTGGTACTTTGTTGATAAATCAAGGCTAGTTATTGGAGCCAGTTCAACTCAGGGTGATATACAATTCAGTAGAGACAAACAAAAGCAAGAGGAAAACAAAATGATAGTCCTAGATGGTTGGTCACAAAGTGACAATACAGCTAGATGGCACCACGAATTCATAAACACAGCACCCAGAGCATATTCACATATACTCTGTATAAATAAGTGTACATACCCCTCTATGAACTCACTCAATACATACAGAAATGAACATACCTCTACACAAACTCATTGTGTACATTAATAAAAGAAGGTTACCTACAATCTCACTCCATACACAAATAAATGAGCATACCTCTCAATGATCTCACTCCACATATACATAAATGTACCTACCTGTCTAGAAACTCAGGAAGGGAATGTAAGTAAAAGAAGAAATGACTGCACAAAAGATGAGAGCTGAGCGTCTGAGAAGAAACAGACTCAAATATTGACAACAACGGTCCTGAAATCCCATGCTCTGTCTTCATAAACAGCACCCAGGGAAGAGTTCCAATGCTGATGTACAGAATGATGAGAAGGGGCCTACTAATCATTGTCCTTATTTGACAAAACAAAGGATCCCGGCTCAATCCCTTGCAAAGGCATCATTATCCAAACTCCCCTCTCCCATGACCTGAACAACTCTAGAGGTCCACACAGCCTCTTTTTCTGCATTTGCTCTTAAAAGAGAGACTGTCCTGTTGTGTTGATATTTACAGCTAGGCCGTGATATCTGCACCTTTTAACCCAACACATCCGATTTCAGCAAGCAGCTAATTACTTGCCTTTTAGGAGGTGTTTCTTGAGGTACAAGTGGTTTATTTAAACATGGATAAATGTTCAGATCTGAATAAACATTAGGGAGGTGCAGATAAACACGAGGGAGTTGTGGATAAATGTTGAGATGTGGATAAACGTGAGGTGTAGACAGAATTGACTTATGGATAAAACATGAGGGAGGTGTGGACAAACATGAATCAGGTGTGGACAAACATGAATCAGCTGTGGACAAACATGAATCAGCTGTGGACAAACAAGAATCAGCTGTGGACAAACATAAATCAGCTGTGGACAAACATGAATCAGCTGTGGACAAACATGAGGGAGGTGTGGACAAACATGAATCAGGTGTGGACAAACATGAATCAGCTGTGGACAAACATGAATCAGCTGTGGACAAACAAGTAGCTCCAACTGCTGGCATGGCACGATGATAATGATCGACACCTTCACATGAATGAATATTTAAAGCAAATAAAACAAAATTCACACCTGCTTCCGTTTATACATAATATATGTTTAAAAATATACATTATTCATGTCTACAGCACACTCACTCTTGCATGCATAGGTACAACATACACTTACACACTCACATATGCATTGTAACAACACACTTCACTTACTCTTACATGCATTGTTACAACACAAACTTCTACATTCTCACATGCATTGTTACTAGGCACATTTCACCCACACACACTCACGTGCACTGTTACAATACATACTTCCACCAACACATTCACACTCACTCTTACATGCATTGTTACAGCACATACTTCTACATTCTCACATGCATTGTTACTAGGCACGTTTCACCCACACACACACTCTCATGTGCACTGTTACAATACACACTTCCACCAACACATTCACATACATAGTTAAACACATACTTCACTCAACCTTACATGAATTGTTACAACACACTTCTAGACACTCAATATGCATTGTTACAACACATGCTTCTCCCAGACACACATTCATTGTTACAAAATACACTTCTCCTAGACACACATTCATTGTTACAATACACACTTCTTCTAGACACTCATATGCACTGTTAACGTTACCCACACACCCTCATATGCATCGTCACAACACATGCTTCTCCTAGACACTCACATGCATCGTTACAACACATGCTTTTCCTAGACACTCACATGCATCGTTACAACACATACTTCTAGACGCTCATATGCATCGTTACAACACATGCTTCTCCTAGACACTCACATGCATCGTTACAACACATGCTTTTCCTAGACACTCACATGCATCGTTACAACACATACTTCTAGACGCTCACATGCAAATTTAACACACAGAACTTCACATGCATTGTTACAATTAACATTATCACCTTTACATTTAAATACAATGTCACAACACCATACATTTAGGAGTGCATTATTACAAAACACGGTTCACCCACACACATTTAACTCAACTATTCTTAATCATCAAAAGCAGCAACAGCTTTTCAGTGGATTGGTCAGTACTACAACTGCTCCAAAATCAACAAAAGCAAACTGGCAACTTTCCCAAAAATTCTCTTATGGCTATTTACAGTCTGAAAGACAATTTCACAATACGCCATTTATCGTTTTTGTTTATCAACATTCAGCATTTGGCCTTATGTGGGAAAATCCCAGACTGAAGGCAGGCGGGCAAGTGCTATATAGTGATACAAATGGCACAGTCACTTTAAATGATGGAAGAAAGCACATCTGTTCTAATACATCACTGTCAGGGATACAAAAACACTGCTCTGTGACTCTCTTACAAATACAGCAGATTACTGTACACTGCTAATAGGGATAGACAATAAACAGAGGCTCCTGAACTGAAATACTTCAGAATATTTTTTTTGGGGAGAGTGAAGAAAAATACTGACATCCTCCAAAGGACCCTTTCCCACGCCATTAGGCATATAGGGCACACATGGCTAGACCTATATTTTTATAGACAAATGGGCACAAGATGGGTGATGTGGTCAGCATCATGCCGGCCGCCTTTACTTCCCGGGCTGCACCCGGTACCCACTCAAGGCTGGGTCGACCTGGGAGCCAAGGCCATTTGTTAAAAACATCCGGTTCCGCCAGGGAGCAAACCCACGGTCTTCCGATCCGCAGCGGGCCTCTAGCCATTCGGCCATGGCAACTCCCACATCCTCCAAAGGACAAGATTATATCAGAAGTCTAAGTCATGTCAGAGGTTTCATATGTCAAAAGACAAGATCAAGAGAGAGGTAAAAAGATGAGATAATGTCAGAGATAAAAGGACAAGGTCTAAGCATGCAAATGAATGCCCCAACAAAAAAATGTCAGGCCTCATAAACTAAACATAATTCTAACCTTAATTTTACAGTGATTTAGAAAACAAATATAGTAATAAATTAAATGTGCCATTCCTGGAAGGAGGCAGGGTTAAAAACTAAGATGAGAATGAATGCAAGACAAAGACACGTAGGGCAGGAAAACAAATGAGGTAGGGGAAGTCATGGAGGAATTAGGGTCTTCCTTCTGAGCTATGACTGCAGTGATGCTCTGTGAAACGACTTACTACCTGATGAAGATCATGGTGGTATTTTCCACATTTGGGCCAAAATTTGCTGCCATATGTCAAGCTGCATCAAAAAGGCAGCAGGCAGGAATCGAGGCCGAATCCAATCACATTTATATGTCTTAAATTCAGATCTATCCAGTCTGAAATGCCACCGAAAAGTATCTCATCACAACACAGAAGGAGCTGAGCCCGTTCACAAATGACCACTGAAATTTCCGGAACTGTTTCCCGAACTACTTCTGCTGCTGGTTTCTACAATTCTTGGTGAAAGTTTCTCCAGTTTTTCAGAGTTGTGGCCGCTGGCTGCTTTGAGCATGTTGAGCAAGTTCTTCTTCACTCGCAGGATGGTCAGGCGGACTTTGGGGTTGTGTGCCCAGCATTCACATATCAGCTGAGCAATCTCACACATCATCTGTGGTTGGGAAACAATATGCTGTGTCAGGTATCATAAGTAGTAGTCTTGTGAGAGGTTGAAGGACATCATGTCAAGGGTCAAAGGATAAGGTTATGTGAGAGGTCAAATGACAAGAGCATGTAAGAATTCTAAGGACAAGAACATGTGAAAGGTTAAAGGACAAGATCACGTCAGGGGGTCAAAGGACAAGATCATGTCAATGGTCAAAGGACAAGATTATATGAGGGGTTAAAGGACAACAGCATGTCAGAATTCAAAAGACAAGAGCATCTGAAAGATCAAAGGACAAGATCATGTGGGAGTTCAAAGGACAAGAAAACATCTGAGGTTAATGACAAGACCATGTCATGGATCAAAGAGTAACAACAGTTAGATGACTGGAAGAGATACAAGTAAGCCAGTTTCATAGGGGAAAAAAAAAGTATTAGTCTTTTGCGAGGTGAAAGAGTACACAAGGGCAGTGAAGAAGATTGTATCAGGGGTCAAAGGGTAACAGTTAGATGAAAGGAAGAGAGAGATACATGCAACTTCCATTTTGATTTTTAAAATCAGGTATTCGTCTTGTGTGAGGTGAAAATGTACACATTCTATAAATATTCTTGTTGTGGGTAGCTTTTCTCATTTTGAAAATTAGCCTCGACAGCTAACCATGTTAGCCTCATCAGCATCATCAAGTGCCTTGCCAGCTGGCGTATGCATCCATGCTTCTCCACAGATCTTGGTCTTTGGTGTTCTGTATCAGTTCCACTGATGATATTCCCCCATGCCACTGTCTTAAGCCATCCACAATCATTTCTACTGACCTACCTCTACATCTTCTACCAGTGGTCCTTCCAGTCATCACGATATTATCCTGTACTCCATTTCTCATCACATGACCAAAGAACTTTGTCTCCTTCTCATTGTTGTATATATTGTTCCACTTTCCTTAGCCATTTCCTGGCAATCATTGTTAGTTATTCTGACAGTCCCAGGTATTCAAAACATTCTTCTCAAGAACCACATCTCAGCTGCCTCCAAACTCTTTTTAATTTGTCTGCTCACATTCCAAGAATCCCTGTCAAATGGTAGCTCACTATATGAACTTCAACAGCTGATCTGCACAAAAGTCCTCCCATTATTTTATTTTTGTGCCCCTGTCCACAAAGACTAGAGATATCAGAGGCACTCTAGAATCACAGAGGAGTAGATCATCCTTTTCTTATTGGGAACATACAATCCACACCAAGAAAAGAGCTGTGTGGCAGACAAGTACCATGTGGCAGACAAGCACTGTGTGGCAGACAAGTACCGTGTGGCAGACAAGTACCGTGTGGTAGACAAGTACAGTGTGGCAGACAAGTACCGTGTGGTAGACAAGTACAATGTGGTAGACAAGTACCATGTGGCAGACAAGTACCATGTGGCAGACAAGTACCATGTGGCAGACAAGCACTGTGTGGCAGACAAGTACCGTGTGGCAGACAAGTACCGTGTGGTAGACAAGTACAGTGTGGCAGACAAGTACCGTGTGGTAGACAAGTACAATGTGGCAGACAAGTACCGTGTGGCAGACAAGCACCGTGTGGCAGACAAGCACCGTGTGGCAGACAAGTACCATGTGGCAGACAAGCACCGTGTGGCAGACAAGCACCGTGTGGCAGACAAGTACCATGTGGCAGACAAGTACCGTGTGGCAGACAAGTACCGTGTGGCAGACAAGTACCGTGTGGCAGACAAGTACCGTGTGGCAGACAAGTACAGTGTGGCAGACAAGTACCGTGTGGTAGACAAGTACCGTGTGGCAGACAAGTACCGTGTGGCAGACAAGTACCGTGTGGCAGACAAGTACCGTGTGGCAGACAAGTACCGTGTGGTAGACAAGCACCGTGTGGCAGACAAGTACCGTGTGGCAGACAAGCACCGTGTGGTAGACAAGTACCGTGTGGTAGACAAGTACCGTGTGGTAGACAAGCACCATGTGGCAGACAAGTACTGTGTGGCAGACAAGTACCGTGTGGCAGACAAGCACCATGTGGCAGACAAGTACTGTGTGGTAGACAAGCTACCTTGCTCGTAATGTACTTACTATTGAAAGACTGCAGTAACTACCATTTAATAAGGAGTTTGATGATAAAAATTTATACTGAACTGAAAGAAGGAATAACTGAGGCAGGAAGTATCAGGAAGTATGCAACAAACTGACAACGATGAATTCATTTAAAACAAATGTTACTTACGGGCTCCTTTGCCCACTTGTTGGGGATGGGAGGTCTCAATTTCTCGGTGGCCACCGCCCTCTTCATATCTTCAAAACTTGGATCTGCCGGAACAATATCCCAGAATGGAATTCTGTACTCTTCTGCAAATGCTGGAATGTATACAAAAAATATGGATTGATATTGTTATTTGTAAGATTTTGCAAACCTCTGAATAAATATAAAGTAAAATGACATTATTAAATTGATAATTGGATGGCAAGTATAACCAGATATCAGGGCTCCCAGAGGCTCAGATATTCCACTTATCCATCACTTGCATGGGTGACTTCTAGCTCTTTCATTGTGTCTAAGCTACAGGGCTCTCTGTGTGCACTCTCTTGTGTATTTTTCATCTGCTGTCTCTTGATGTAGTTTAGCAATGGTTTAATGATATCATAGTTTCTGATCCTGTTTTACATCCAGATAATATCAATCCTCAGGTTCACCCTCCCTTCTTCCCTTTTCACATGTATACAAAGCATTATGAGGGGAAGTCAATAAGTAAGTCACAAATGGTTGTTTAAAAAATCTAGAGACAAAACTCGAAAAACATTTATTTTTACACATACACTGTCCCTTAATTTTTTAAACATAATTTCTACCAACATTGATGCACTTGTCCCATCGTTTTATCAGTCCTCCAAAACCTGCTGCATAATAGAACATTTTTACTTCACACTTAACTTCTGCATCATTCACGAAATGTCTCCTGCGAGGCGGGTTTTCAGTAGGCCAAAAAGGTGGAAATTGCCAGGGGTTAAGGGAAAAAAGGTGACTGTGAATGCTGATTAATACTGTAAAGTTCTATTAATGCTTCATGAAGAAAATATCCAGGCCTGCTGACTAGAGGAGTACTGCTCCTTCAGGACAATGCCAGACCACATACGGCTCGATAAACTCTGGACCATCTAGGGTGGGAACTTCTGGAACATCCACATTACAGCCCCGATTTCCAACTTTTTTGGTCCACTGAAAATCCACCTTGCGGGAGACATTTTGTGAATGATGCAGAAGTTGAATCTGAAGTGAAAATGTGGTTTAGAAAACAGAGCATGCAGTTCTATGCAGCAGTTTTGGGAGGACTGATAAAATGATGGGACAAGTGCATCAATGTTGGTGGCAATTATGTTGGAATATAAAGGGACAGTGTATGTGGAAAAAAATAAACGGTTTTCAAGCTGTTATCGTCTTTATTTTATTTTTATTTTTTAAACAACCATTTATAACTTATTTTTTGACTTCCCCTTGTAAATGCTGCACAGAAATAATGACTGTTCTTTAATTCAAGAAGCCTGACACTTTTTAATTAACCCTGGATCAAGATTAACTATTCTTTCAAGTTCTTTCTCTATTAAAATAGAAGGGAAAAAAGGGAACTTACGTCGTGCTCTCCTGGCTATTTCCCACAAAACAAGTCCAAAAGCGTAAACATCGACGCACTTAAATGACTCAAAAACATCCGAGTTCAAAGTCCCTGTCAGCACCTCTGGTGCCATGTATCGTTTCGTCCCGACCAACTGAAAGATCAGAAAATGGTTACATGATTTACTACAACATGGAATCACCAATAAGACCATATTATCATCACCCTCATTATTATCAGCATCATCACCATTACTATTATCGTCATTATCATTAATAAAATCGTCATCATAATTATCACCTTAATTACTGTCATCATAATCATCTTCATTATCATTTAAACCCGCCATATGAGTAAACCCATAGTTTGTTTATTTTTTGTCCAGGACTCACAGCCAAATGTTAAAATTGGCTCCAAATAGCATGCAAGAATTCATTTCTTTTTTGCCAATGACATGGATTTATTGCACCAAAATGATCTTCATGTTATAAAAGGCAGTTCTGACCTGTCCTATTCTATTATCTATCTTTGTGATACATTTTCCATCGGATGTTATCCATGTGCCTAGATACTTACATTTCTGTACTTGTCCTAAAATAATGCCTCTGACTTTTATTATACATTTAGGCACTATTCTTTTCTTGGAAATCACCATTACTTCTGTCTTACAATTATTCAAACTGAGGCCCATTTTATCACCTTTCAACATAAACACAAATTTACAATATTTCCTTATACCAACACTAACATCCATTTAACTATATCTTCTGAGGTGCTATTTTGATGAGGAAAAGGGGGGGGGGGGGGGTAAACCCACTGACCCCATCAAGCATGTTATAAGAGGCAAATAACTGGCAGTTTGCTGAAATCAGATGTACTGCGCTGAAAAGTACAGACACTGCAGCCTGTTTGTAAACCACAGCCCAAAACCCTTTAAAGGGTGAACGCAGAAGAAGAAAAAGAGGAGCAGGTTAAGGAATAATAATAATATAATGATAATCATTCAACTTTATCAGTCAACACACACACAAACACTGGACTCACTAATTTGTCTGGTCCGGTGTCAGTTTTTAAACAACTACTTCTGACAGCATGGCCCAGGTCTCCGATGCAGCACTGCCCGTTGTCTTTGACCAGGATGTTCTTGGATTTGATGTCCCTGAGGATGTGCAAGCAAAGTTGTTAACAACTTCACAAAACCAACTGTGCCATTTACTGTTAGAATGATGATTAGACAGAACTCAAGAAATGCAAGAGCAGAACCTAATATCTCCCTGGACATCTGAAGCAGTATAAGTGGAAGTGAAGAAGACGAGAACTAGAATGAAAAGAGAGCTACCGAACGAAATAAATAAATATGAAAAAAGACGAATAAAACTGTTCAGTCATATTGAAAGACATCAGCATCATCATCTCACCATCATTATCAGCAATATCCACTTCTGCTTCATGGGGAGGAATAGTTTGCGACCCATTGTTTGATGGGTAGCAATAACTACTGCCATTTTGTTTTGATATAAAAGCTCTTTAATGTCATCAATTGATCTCTTCCTAGGGGACCTCTTGCTTTCAAATCAGATCTCTTCATATGCAGTGCATATCCAACTGTTCATGATTCACTTCCGTATATCAGGATAGGATTTATTCAGCTGCTGAAAATTCTCTTTCTCATCTCAACTGACAAAGAAAGACTGCATCAGAATATTCTTCATCTGGTAAAATGCTGGACACCAAAATGTCTCAGCCTCAATTCCCTCAATAAAGACACAATGTAGTACTCTCTGACTACACACATACCTGTGAGCTATTCCAGGTTTTTCATGCTTGCCAGTCCCTTCCTTGATCTCAGTGTGGAGGTGGGCAAGTCCTGCAGCTGCTGAGTGTGCCAACAACAACATCTCCTCTATGTCTAGATCACTCCGCTAGAAGGAATTTATGGTCAAATTTATACAAATGGACTAGCAACGTCTCCTCTAAGTGTCTAGATCACTCCGCTGGAAGGAATTTATGGTCAAAATTATATAAATGGACTAGCATCATCTTACTATGACTGGATCACTCTGCTGGAAAGAATTTATGGTCAAAGTTATATGAATGGATTAGTTATATAGCATATCTTTTATGTATAGATCACTCCGCTGGAAGCAATTTATGGTCAAAGTTATACAAATGGAATAGCAACATCTCTTCTATGTCTAGATCACTCTGCTAGAAGGAATTGATGGTCAAATTTATACAAATGGACTAGCAACGTCTCTTCTATGTCTAGATTAGTCCACTGGAAGGAATTTATGGTCAAAATTATATAAACAGACTAGCAGAATCTCTTCTATGTTTAGACTGCTGTACTGGACTTTAGAATTTTACTCATGACTGCTGTTGGATACACAAGCTAGCAGTAGCATCTCTGCAGTGATCCTATCTCTTACAAACAAAGCATCTCTTCAGTGATCCTATATCTTACAAACAAAGCATCTCTTCAGTGATCCTATATCTTACAAACAAAGCATCTCTTCAGTGATCCTATATCTTACAAACAAAGCATCTCTTCAGTGATCCTATATCTTACAAACAAAGCATCTCTTCAGTGATCCTATATTTTACAAACAAAGCATCTCTTCAGTGATCCTATATCTTACAAACAAAGCATCTCTTCAGTGATCCTATCTCTCACAAACAAAGCATCTCTTCAGTGATCCTATATCCTACAAACAAAGCATCTCTTCAGTGATCCTATATCTTACAAACAAAGCATCTCTTCAGTGATCCTATATCTTACAAACAAAGCATCTCTTCAGTGATCCTATATCTTACAAAAACAAAGCATCTCTTCAGTGATCCTATATCTTACAAACAAAGCATCTCTTCAGTGATCCTATATCTTACAAACAAAGCATCTCTTCAGTGACCCTATATCTTACAAACAAAGCATCTCTTCAGTGATCCTATATCTTACAAACAAAGCATCTCTTCAGTGATCCTATATCTTACAAACAAAGCATCTCTTCAGTGATCCTATCTCTTACAAACAAAGCATCTCTTCAGTGATCCTATATCTTACAAACAAAGCATCTCTTCAGTGATCCTATATCTTACAAACAAAGCATCTCTTCAGTGATCCTATATCTTACAAACAAAGCATCTCTTCAGTGATCCTATATCTTACAAACAAAGCATCTCTTCAGTGATCCTATCTCTCACAAACAAAGCATCTCTTCAGTGATCCAATCTCTCACAAACAAAGCATCTCTTCAGTGATTCAATCTCTCACAAACAAAGCATCTCTTCAGTGATCCAATCTCTTATAAACAAATACAAGCTTATGTTAGTCATTATTTTAATGTCATTTACATTCATCATCATCCTTTAGTGTCGCTTTAAGTCACAAAGGGTTCACAGTCTATTCTTCCATTTCCTATCTTCTTCTTTATAGCGTTCTATTTCTGGAATCTGGCCTTGCCCCGCAAACTTGAGTTTTGCGTACACATCTATTTCACAGATCAGGCTTAATTCTATGGAGACTATTCTACTGGTTCCTTGCCTCTCAGGCAGATGTCCGGGTCTATGAAAAGACTGAACATTATTGCAGCACTTCGTCTATCATAATTAAGGCTCTAGCCATGAATATCAGATATCCCTACCTCTAAGCAGCAGCAGCAGATGTCACATTAGCTGAAAATTGTAGTTTTGTGACATCTAATTTAACAAATAAAATGCCATCTACATTTTGTTTTTGTTTCCGTGTTTGGTCAGCTGTTGGATGGGAAGTGAACACAATTTTCTCTGTTTCGGTGGACTGCATGCGTAAACAAGATTGAGAAATACTGGTCTTGTGATCACCAGGCTACAAAATGGCACCCATATCAAATGGTACTTTGGTAAGTCCAGAACTTTACACTCTTCTTAACATTTTAAGATGTCACATGTGTGTATACATTAAATATTTCTTTAAAAACAGTTTAAAATCCCAGCAATCATTCTGAAGACAATAAGAGACGAAGCAAGACAATACATCAAATTTTATAAGAAAGCACTGCTGGAACCACATCGGCTATGCACTCAGAATCGATAAGGTAAGACTTTCCCATCAAGCCCCCATATGGACACCGGAAGGGAAAAGAAAAGACCAAGAGAGACTCTCCATAATCAGGGAAGGCTCAACCATGGGGTAAAAAAACATCCAAGACCTAAAGCAGGTGGCAACGAACGGCCAGAAATGAGAGCTATGACCTCTGCCCTAGGCCCAAGAGGAAAGACTAACTAACTAATCATTCTTAATGACTCTGTACAGAACAGCACTAACCTGCAAATAATCATATAAAGACCCATTGCGATGATACTGCAGGATCAACCAGTTCTGTGTGCAGGAGAGAATGCCCACTGTGTCTGAAGCATAGTAGCCCAGGATGTTCTCATGATGTAACATTCCTGTGTTGTAAATGTCTGTCTCCTGGTTCCAGCTGATCTCCTCCAAAGAAGAAAATGTTTTCACTGCCACATCCTCGTCCAACCACTTCCCTCGCCATACTTCTCCAAATCTACCTTTTCCTATATTATTGAATAAATGATATATCTTAGGTATTTGAACTTTTACCTATTCTACATGTAGATCTTAATAAAAAGATATTATATTATTTGAACTTGTAGATATCTGAAATGTATATTTTGATAAACAAATATATGAGAGTTTCCGAGATACATATCATCATCATCATGTAGCAGGTCTTTTGCAGAACGTCGCTCTCATCACAGTCTGCCTGAAAGAAACTAGGTCTCTCGCCAGTTCTCCCGCCTCATGTACTTTCATACTCAAGGAGTCACTTATATCACTGTGCCCATCTTCGTGTCGGTCGGCCCCTGCCCCTCCTTCCTGGTACTATGCCTTCTGCTATAATTTTTTTTGAATCCGTCGTGGCGCTTGATATGACCAAAATATTTCAGCTTCCAAGACAGGATGCTGTTTATTAGCCAATCTTTCTTGATGTTCAGATCTTTCAAGATGTCAGTATTTCTTCTCTTCTTTGTCCAAGATATTCTGAGAATCTTGAGATAAATATACAAAATGTATACTTTATAAACATATTTCTTAGGTGTCTGAACAGCACATATATTAAATGTATATATTATAAACATATTTATTAGGTATATTAAATTTCTGCATATTTTAAGTGTAAATCTTACAAATAAATAAGGTCCTGGGTTACAGGTGGTGACCCCCATCTGGCCGGTCAAGAGCAGCTACGTAGTCCAGATAAAACAGGGGCAGAACATGAGTATCCCCCCCCCCCCCCCCCCCCCCCCCCCCCCCGCAATCTAAGAAGGCTTCTATAAATGCAGAGCCAATATATGGTGTTCTGGTTCTGGGCTCACCCAAGGAATTGTCACCTCCTGCTTACGTCTGTTTACCTCACTTCCATATTACTCAGCCTTTCATTCATAATAGGATATGCCTTCAGAAGCCTGCAGGAGGCAGTCTGTAGACCTGGCATTTCAATGACCCTACACAAAATGAATACTTTGTTTTTTATGCAGGTTAGACTAAATGAATGCCTAGTAAACATATATATTATGTATTAGAAATACTTATACCAAATGTATATCTTATAAACATATCTCTTAGTTGTCTTAATTTGATACATCTACATCTAGCAGACAGACTTCCTGGTGACTAACAAACAAAATGGAAAACTTAAAATATAACTTGCATAGTAAAATAATTTTTCATCAGCAATTTTAAACATTTAGTAGAATTTGGGGGAGCTAGGGGGTGGGGAGTTCCCCTGTTATAATCATAGGGGCTACAAAAATTCCATGCAATGAAGTCAGTTACAAACTGACTGACCTATTCCAAATCTGACTAACTAGAAACTGACCTATTCTCTCAATCAAGGTAACCTGTTTCCCAACTGTCCTTGGCACCAAGGTGGGTTGACCTGACCCACTTCCAGACGACCACTGGTCCTGGAGATGATACAAACAGGCAACAAATTAGAGTTATGACAGAGTTATGACAGAGTTATAACAGAGTTATGATAGAGTTATGACAACCAATGTTTTTATGGAAACAGTCAGCAGAGGGCACCTTGTGAGGCTGTGGCAGCGGAGCACTGAACAATATGAGAATGCCCAATGTGCAGTAACACCAACTGTCGTACTATCACTTCTTTGACAGAAACAACAGTTATTTATTAATATCCTACCCCAGATGACGTCACAGGACAGTCCAACATTTTAGAAGGTGGTAAGACTGGATTTCTCGGCTTTCTGGTGCTTTTAACCACCCCAAAACATCTAGAACTGGCCCTAACCCCAACCCACCTATGTTCCACGAGAGAGTGAAGCCTAGGTCCCACGACTGCATGCAGCCTAGGTCCCACGACTGCATGCAGCCTAGGTCCCACGACTGCATGCAGCCTAGGTCCCACGACTGCATGCAGCCTATATACCACTCCCCGAAATATTAGACTGTTCCGTGACCTGTGAATTTCCCCTGTTTGGGGTAGGATTTTAATAAAGCACTGAAACAACAAATCAACTGGCAATTTTATATTACTGGATTCATGAAATGGACATTTACTTATCATCATCATCATGTTCCATATCATAAAGCAGGCGGTGTTCAGGTCTCTTTACAGATCTCGGTACTTCCTGCACTGAATGAGTTCTACTGAAGATATTCCCAGCCATCACCATAAATCAGGCACAGGCAACCTCTGGCCCGCAAGCCATACAAGATCCACAGAATTATTTCATCTAGTCCTACAGAGGCAATTGCAATTAAATGACTGACCAAATACTGCAGGCTAATTTGCACAATGAATTAATTTTTAAAGGGCTGTAAATAATGTCATAGATACACAAATGTCCCTGGCAGCATGATGACCAACCAGCTCCATTTTTTGGGGGGTTCTTTTTTTACTGCTGCCTTTAATGATCCATCAGTGTATATGTGTTTCAATTTGGGTTTTGTGTAATAGCTGTAGATGTGTTCAAGAGTCTTTGCTTGCGGTATCAGGTCACATTTTTCAGCCTTTCTGTCTATGCCTGGGATTGTTGTTGTGACTGTATAGTTAGGTTGTAGGTCTATGCTGTATACCTGGAGCATTTCTCACGTTGAAGGTACTTTAAAAATGGTGTCAAGGTTTTTGGTGCAAAACAGTTATGATAGATGGTGGAAGCTTTGTCTTTTCAGTCGGTTTTTAGTTAAGTTGTTTGATATTCTGTACATGCGGTTGTTGTTCATGCCTTTAAATTGTTCTATCAGGATAAGCATCTTTTCATCCCTTCGATGGCTCAAGCTATATAGGCCAGAAGCTGCCTCCAGCTCCTTGATTGGTGTGCTTCTCATACCTCCAGTCCTACTGCTAGTGCAGAAACTAAGACTGTAAACATCAGATTTATCACAGATGTTTGGAATTTATGATGTCCTGTTCACAATATTCTCAATATTTTTTTTGTAAAAAACCATATTGAAATTAATACCATTTGCAGTTTGCAGTAAAAGTGAAGGACACTCTTCCACACCTTCAGGCATATAGGGCTAGACTTATATTTTATAGACCAATCGGCACTTGGTGGGTGATATAGTCAACATCATGCTGTCTGCCTTTATTTCCCAGGACTGCACCTGGCACCCATTTAAGGCTGGGTCGACCTGGCAGCCAAGGTCATTATTGAAAAAGGTCTGGCTCCATCATGACCCGAACCCACAACCTTCCAATCCGTAGGCAAGCCTCTAGCCACTACACCTCAGCGACCCCAAATTTCCAGTTTGCACTGGTCCCTCAAATGACCCTAACTAACAGCAGACCCACCTGCTTGGAACCCACATGAAATCCTCTACACAGACCATCATCGTCCAGTAGTCTAACCTCTGGCGCCAACAGAAGACTCTCTGCTCTACGTTTGTGCATATGTCTGCGCACAAAGAACAAGGCCCCAATCACCAACACAAGGACAGCGGCCGCGATGGAAACTGTGATGATGATGATCAAATTGAGGTCTGACTCTTTCTTATCTGCAAACAGAAATTTGACATACATGTGCAACAAGTTCAAATTGATACGATCTTTAATGATCTTTTGGTCACAGGCAGGTATCATTTAGACTCGTTGATTCTAAAGTATCTGTTACCTAGCACTTAAAAAACTGCTAATACTGCCTGAACTGAGCACTTGCAGTGAAGGCTTTAGGGTCTTTTAGCCTGAGGATAGCAAGGGCTGTTGCCACAGACTGTGCAGCTTAAGATTTTATTTGTGCCCCAGATGGGGGAAAATTTATAATCTTACCGAGGATTCAAATCTAGGTCTGCTGCATAAGAGCCTTGCACCCTTAACCGTTTGATTAGCTACCTAAGGTAACTAAATTAAGATCAAGGCAGATAAAAAAAAAAACATTAAAGGAGTTAAAGTAACATTTGGGGTAGTATGGTTTATTACAGCAGCTGCAGGGGAAACACAGTGTTTAGAAACATTTAAAAGGTAAGGGAGTCACCGGTAGATGCATGGTGAGTTGACTGGTACTGAATAAGTTAAAAAATAGATTTAACCCACACCTGAAACAGGACAATTTCTAAAATTTAGAAACATTTATACACATCTTAAATATGTGAAAATTACAATCTTGCGAAAGATGAAAAATGTGAAAATGTGAAAATGAAACAGCTGTAAACTTTACAAAAAATGTATTACTGGTTTCAGCTTCACAGTAACAATACAGACAAATGTGAGATGTTTCCCTGATTAACTTATTGATAATTTCTATGACTGTTTGACTGAGAGAATGTCAGATGACAGAGAAGTGAAAACTGTATACACCAGGGAGAAGAATGGACGTAGACCACGAGGCAGACCACGAAGACGATGGAGAGATAATGTCCAGACAGACCTGCAAACATTTGGTGTCACCAACTGGAAAGAGAAGGCCAACCAGAGAGATGAATGGAGGCGAGTGATATCTGCAGCAATGAACTTCAAGGGCTCTGGATGCTGAAGAAGAAGAAGAAGATGACTGTTTAACAGCTAGATCCTTCTTGGTCAGTGCTACAGAGTCCTGTGCACTGTGCTGACGTTCTCCCTTTGTGACCTATGACAGGAAACTAAGTATATTATTTGGGATGGGATGGGTAAGATATGATGGGATACGAAGGGATGAGCTGAAGCAGAAAAAGATAAGATTGGATGAGGTAGGATTGGATAAGCAGGGATGAGAAGAGATGAGATGGAATGGATTAGAATGGAATGAGATAAGATAAGACAGAATGGGATATGGTGAGTTAGGATGGAATGGAATACGGTGAGACTGATTGAGATCAGATTTGATCAGATGTGATAGGGGATGAGAGAAGAAGGGATGAGATGAGATGGAATGAGATGGAATGAGGTGAGATTTAATGATATGGAAAGGGGAACAAGATGAGATGGGATAATATGAGATGGGATGTGATGAGATTGGATGGGATGAGATGAGACATGATGGGATAAGGTGAGATGAGATGAGAGTGAATGGGATGGGAAGGGATGAGATGGGATAAGACTTACCAACAGTCTTACTGGGCAGAGGATCCAGATTCAAATTCTCGTTGCACATGTTACCCTCGCAGCACTTAAAGAATCCATACTCAGCTTTGGAATAGCAGCTGAGTCGGGAGATCTCCATGGATGTAAAACAGTTGCGGCTGAACAGCCCTGTCTGTTTGTCCTTGTGTATGTAGCACTGCAACACACAAACATGTGCTGTCAGACTTGAAAATGACAGCAACAATATAAATCACAAAATAAATATATTTACATTAAAATTCTCCTTTGTTTTGTTTATATATCATAAGGAAAGCGGCAGATTTCTCCACCGTGTTCTGCTCTGTTCAGTTTTTTAAAATATTATAAATCTAGTCCAGCACTTCCGGCTGCCATCATTAAAGGTCCTTTTTTCATGCCTTTAGGAGTTTTAGGAATATAGGACCATAACTATATTTTTATGGACCATCGGCCTGGGAGCCTAGGCCACTTTTTTTAATAAAAAAAAGTCCGGCTCCGTCAGACGCAATGCTACAGGCTTCACTCATTAATATCTCATGGAGTTTCTCTTAGACATCATCGTTTCTGCAATCTATTTCCTATTAGGTGCCTATTTTCTATTACTGACCTGCTTCATCTCAAATTATATCCAATATATGACTTCTTTTTTCTTACAACTGCTGTAAAACGAATGAATGAAACAAAAGAGAACTGACCTATCCTAGACTGTAGGTATCAAACCTACGAATGAAAAAAGAGACAACAGAAGACAAATGCTGTCGCTGATCAGCTGGTCCCATTGTCAGATACCCAAATATCTCCCTACCATCAAAGCAACTGCCAATTACTGCCTCTATTATACCACTTTTGCAGTGTAGGCGGGGGGGGCGGGGGGGGGGGGGGGAGGGTTTGAGCCTGAGGAGCCTGATGATATATGGCCAGTGCTGTCACCGTGAGTGTGTAGGTGAGGATTTTATCCCCCCCCCCCCCCCCCCCCCCCCCGACAGAAAAAATCCCCAGCCTTACCGAGAGTTCGAACACAGATCTCCCGCTTGAGAGCCCAGCATTCTAACTGCTTGGCTAGCCGCTCCTCCGTCAAAGCAACAAATGATTAATATCATCTTCATCCCCACTTTGTGCTATTAATGCCAAACATGGACAATGAGTGGAGCACAGGAACTGAAAATAACTATCTGCGAAATCCACTGTCTACAAAAGATCACCAACAACACAAGATGGGACGGGGGGTCACAAATACCACCATTAGAAAGAAGGGACGGGGGGTCACAAATACCACCATTAGAAAGAAGATTGAAAGAACAACCTGACTCAATTACATTGAAAGATGGAGAAGAAGAAAGTGTCAAACCAATGAATGAAACAAGAGAAAACTAACCATTGTCAAATCAATAAATGAAACAAGAGAAAACTAACCTTTCATGTGTCATTGTCAAACCAATGAATGAAACAAGAGAAAACTAACTTTTTACAGCATGCCATTGTCAAACCAGTGAATGAAACAAGAGAAAACTGACTTTTCACAGCATGCCATTGTCAAACCAGTGAATGAAAGTAGAGAAAAACTGACTTTTCACAGTGTGTCATTGTCAAACCAGTGAAAGAGAGGGGAAATAAAACTAACTTTTCCTGGGGTGTAGCAGACAAGTTTGCCATCACAAGGTGGGTCACAGGCACAGCTGTACTGGGTCTCCTGCAGGCTGGCAGTCAGGTTCTTGATGCTGTACACAGGTCTCTCTGTCGAATACAAGCAGAAGGATAAGTCAAGGTCAAATTTAGGGGGAAAGATGCGTAAAACAGTTAAAAATGTGATTCAGTCAAATTTCGCTGATCAAATCAAATTTCTTCGCTAGCTACTCAAGGAGACGGATCCTATATGTGGGTGTCCTGAGTGCAGTGATGTTAATGCAATCATTCGCTCAGTTAAACGTAACGCAATAAGGTTCGAAACAGAAGACCCAATCTTCATACAGGCATATATGTTATAACTTTCTTTTCAGAATAATCGAATGCTAAATTCACGACGCCAGCCTAACCTAGCTACAAATATTGATTCAAACTGGAAAAAATAAAATGTGCGTAACAAAATTTCTAAAACCTAGTTAGCAGCAGGCGTTTGCTTAAAGAAAGACATAAATTCCCTTTTTGACTACATGAATGGCAGAAAATTCTGAGCACCCATTTCTGAACTGAAAACCCAGTTGTAGAAAAAAAAGGGGGGGGGGGGAGGTGGGTTGATAAATGAAAGATAAACGCTGACACACAGGCACACACGCTGACACACACACACGCCCGATCTAAGCCCCGTCTCCCCCTTAATGAAAGTGTGTCCTAAATTTCTAAATACATTGGCAATAAAAAAGAGTCCGGGGAAGAAGGTCTCCCCATGTAGGCGCCTGCAATAAGCCGGCAATTGAAATGTGTACAAAGGGCGAGGGATTTCTTTCGCCGGGTTGGTTAAACAGTGTGGACAAACAAACGCGCTGAGAGCGCGAAGAATCAGCTCCCGCTCGCTACTTTTACACCCCAGGTGCAATTAAAGGCGAAACTGATAAAATCAGCGGGGAATGCAATCTGAGGTGACACCGGGTCCCTATTCAAACAGCGAGGTGAAGCTGCAGCGGGAGCTGGCTGCCATATTGGACAAAAACCGGCGGCACAAAGAGGAAAAGACGTGTTATAAATTTATTATAAATCTAATCCGGCGAGACGCCTGCAGGTGGCTTGTCGCTGCGTCAATGATCAGTCGGGCTCGCTACAGCTTTAATCTACGATTGAAAGCTGAGACTCTAGGCTAGGTGGGATCTTTACGGCAAGCCGATCATTTCCGCCATGTTTGATCTAAGGATTGCAGGCGATGACTGGATACTGTAACATCTAGATTGTTACATGGTCGGTCGTACAGCAGGATATCTGTAACACGGAGAGTGTTAATGGTCGTACGGTTACGGCGATAGTTGGATATGGTGATGTTACGTGACCGTCGTACGGCAGGATACTGTAGCATGTAGGTTTTGGAACAGGACTACAGTCCAAAAGTGGATGAACAACCAGAACTTTCCGCCTGAGCTAGCAGCTGATGAACAGAAGAAAAACAACTCCTCTAGGCGATGAACTAATTTATAATAAAGCAGGAGTGCTGTAAGTCATCCGCATATGAGTTGCAATTTTTGTTGTTGGGGGGGGGGGGGGAGCCCCATTTTGGCTTTTGCCGGGGGCCCTGAATATGGCTGAGCTATACATATGACCTAGGCCATAGATATGGCCCAACGGTTGAAAGGGGTTTCTGTGACCTCTCCACAGGTGGTCCTCATCCACGTGGTGGCACTTTGTGTCACCGGGCGTCTGATGTCCTGGTCGGGTACAACTACCTACCTACCCGAAGGTGCTCTTGGATCAAATGGAAAGTGCGACAGAAAATAAAGGAGAAGCCATACACTTTCACTTTTGTCTGTTTACCACATTTTAGAGCTGTGTAGAACGCCGGGGAGGGAGGTCTTTAGCTTGGGGATTTAGGGCCGCAAGGCATGTGCTGTTGCCGCGGACTGTGCATGTTAGGATGTTCAATTTAGTCCCCGACAGAAAAGTCCATCGCCTTACCGGGGATCGAACTCAGGTCTCCCGCATGCGAGTCAGACGTTGTAACAGCTCGGAAAGCCGCTCTTCAGCCGGACACTGCACGACTTATTCAACGTGGGGAGGGGGAGGGGTTAACAGAGGGTCTGTGAGATATTCAACAATGAAGGGGGAAACAGAGGCTGGTTGCAGCTGGTACCATTAGCGTTTGTTGGCTAAACGATGAAGGAGACGGAGCACGTGTGGGAATGTGCCGAGTGCAGTGATGTCAATTCTTGATTTATTCATTTATACAGCAATTAAAAAAAAAAATTAAGATAAATGTGACAAGAGGTCAAAAGGGCTTAAGCCAGACAAAAGGGATATACTTGAAGCAAAAGAATAATAAACCAACAAAGAACTAGTGTAGTCAGTTGCTAGATAATTAAAGCAATGCCAAAAATACTAGGAAACAAACATGTATCTGTAGAAACAGAAAGAGCACTCTATGACACAATCTTCCTGCTATCAGTGCCAGACATGGTCAATGCTAGAGAAGAGAAAATAAATTTTACAACTTCTTCTGCTTCTTCTTCTTCGCGTTCACCAGCTGTTAACTCTGGAGGAAGGTTCTGGTTGCTCGTCCACTACTGAACTGCAGTCCTGCTCCAGAACCTGAGTGTTGCGTGTGCATCAGTTTTACAGATCTCATTCTCTTGAATGCAGACTTTTGGTTCCTTGCGTCTCCGGCAGATGCACTCCGACTTCAAAGGAAACTCCCCAGTTAGTCGACTCTTACGACATGCTTTTGGGGAGGCAATGGGTCTATTCTTGTTTTCCCCACAATGGGGCCCCGGAACCCACACGGGGAATATTTACAACTAAAACGAGATTGCTGCGAGTGGCTCTCAAAACAACAAGAAAAGATCAGATCAGAAACGATGAAATCCGAAAGAAAAATTGGCGTAGCAGCAGCTCTGAAATTCACCAGAAGACAATAGGTGAAATGGTTTGGCCATATAGCGCAAATGTCAGCAAACCGTATACCACAGCAAGCAATGATGTACAGACTAGGCGGGAAGCAAAAATAGGCCGATTAAGCAAGCCAAATATGGACAGAGAGAATTACGGAGTTGCTACGACATACCTATTAGGCAGGTAATGAGTCTTTTCGTGTTTTCTCATACAAAAGGCCCCGGAACCCATGCGGGATAGGGAGAGGGGTAAAGAACCCTATGTATTTACCTAAACAACGTGTTTTCTGACAGCCCCGTTGGAAAATCCCCTTATAAATCTTGCCAAGGTGAAATATTTTACTTTAAACCGTTGGTAGTCCGTCCTGTCTACAGCGTGTATGATCACAAAAGCGCAAGACTGACTGTTTTTGCGCTGTATTGCTCGTTCCAATTTCACCAGAAAACTGAAAGACGGCGATCAAAGTTGTACTCTTGATCACCAGACCTTGCCTGTGCAGTGCAGGCTTGAGATATCTCACGGGTTTACTTTTTTTTCCAGCCCATGGTTTTTGTGCGTTTAAAGAGAGGGAGGGAAATTTGAGAGTCGTTTATAGGGAATCAAAACAGAAGTGATACGCATAACACACGGTTAGCAGACGGAGGGACAGGCAGGGAGGAATAACAGAGGAGTTACACGAAAAAATGGCTGATTGGAAGGTAGAAGAGGGTAGACGGATAAGGGGTATTAAACAAGGTAAAACCATTAAACTGTATGAAACAGACATGATGTCCTTTCGTGCAAAATAGAGTTATAAGCCAATCGTTTGCTTCTAGTCACGTATGTGATTCATTCCGAGAGGTTAGGGCGTCTTCGCCTGGCTCAGGAGTTAGTGATTCGAATCCCAGCGTAAGGCATAGTGGTTCGAATCCCAGCTTAAGGAAAAATTGTTCAATACCAGCATTAAGGGAGGGTTAGTCGTTATTCGAGGCTCCAACATCACCGCAGACGTGTGGCCCCCTAACTTCTCCGTTCAGTGACACTGGAAATCACGCCAGATCTTCTTCTTCTTCTTCTTCTTTCTTTCGGCTTCGGGCGGAGGAGCACACTGGGGAGGATCTAGCCTTATCCTGGGAAGAGCCAATGCAACCTGGAAAGTTGATGCTGTGGCAGGGCAGACCAGGCCCTAAGTCTTGGCTGGTAGCTGGTCTAGGAGGGAGGCTACCACAAACGGACAGATATATATATATATATATATATATATATATATATATATATATATATATATATATATGTATATATATATGAAGGCGTGAAAAAGGGCCCTTTGCTTTACTACTGTTACATTATTATTATTGCGTGTAGCATGATTACCACTTCTATTATATTATTACAATAACCACTACTGCCTACCCCCATATGGGTTCCGGGGCCCTATTATAGGGAAAACAAGAATAGATCCATTGCCTACCCTACCCAAAAGCATGTCGACTAATTGGGAGCTTCCTTCAAAGTCGGAGTGCATCTGCCTGAGAGGCAACAAACCAGCAGTCTGTACACAAATGTGTTAGATCTGTCAAACAGATGCACAAGCAAAACTCAAGTTCTGGAACAGGACTGCAGTCCAGAAGTGGACGAACAACCAGAACTTTCCGCCAGAGTTTACAGCTGGTGAACGAAAAGAAGAAGAAGAAAACCACTACTGCTACTGCAACTTCTGCAACTATTACTACTACTACCACTACTAATTCTCTTCGCCCTGTCCAAGTAAAATGTAATTTTTCAGTGGCACAACGTATGATGAAATACACTGCCCACATTCAAGGCAACCAGATGTCCGGTCTCCTCGTCCAAGAGACCATCGGGTCGCCTGATATCTTAGAAACCAAAGGTTAATGAAAAATACCCAACCTTACTGACAGCTAGCCGTCTTATGCATTTTTTTAACTTTGCGTGTGCAAGCTTTAAGATGTTATTGACTGACAGGTTGTTTTCTCTTGTTTTCAAATGTAGTAGTAGTAGTAGTAGTAGTAGTAGTAGTAGTAGTAGTAGTAGTAGTAGTAGTAGTAGTAGTAGTAGTAGTATTAGTAGTAGTAGTAACAGTGGTGGTAGCAGTAGTAGTAGTGGTAACAGTAGTGGTGGTGTTAGTAGTGGTAGCAGCAGCAGAGTGAATAGCAGTAGAAAAGAGTGTAAAATTATGTAGAAGTGGCTAGGTTGAAAAACAAGCG